TTTGATCTACATCAAAAAATCATTATAACTTTAAAAAATTTAATAAATCAAATGTCATGTACTCCCATAAATATTTTCACATTGCAAGTTTCTCTAAAAATTGTTTATTTTCATATAATCCAACTTAAAGTAAGTATGCCGAGAGGTATGCACAAGTTTTGTCGTTAGAAGTATAAAAGCTTCAATTTAATTTGAACTACGAGGGTGGTTCAAATATAAACCGGAATTTTTGAATAAACGCGCGAAAAATTTAGTGTCGTAAAAGTGGCTGCACTGGATGTTAGATTGGTCTGTTACGAAGCGTAGAGAACAGCCGGGACGCAGATATTTTATCCTTAACCAGCGTCCCGAGTCCGCCCGCTTGCCGAGTCCCGCTGTCACACTGTAAATCGGTATTATTTTTCGAGCAATAGGAATTTTACAATAAGCTCGGTAGCTCGATGGAAGGGCGCCTGCTTTGCATGCGAGAGATACGGGGTTCGATTCTTGGTGTCTCTACAACTTTTTTTATTTTTTTTTAAAGAATTTATATACCGAAATAATACAATGTGGCCTTAAAAGCATTTATATTTAATTTTACATTAATATTTTAATTTATTTACCTTTCCTCATAATCATTTTGCTACAGTTATATAATATAAAATGTAATTAAATGAATATTCCTTCGTTGAAAATTTTTTACACAATGGGGCGGGGTCGGTTGGGTTGGGTTGTTGGGTTTGGGTTGGTTTCGAACCTTCGCAATTTTTCTGTACCTAGACGTTAGTCACTGAGCTCGCAAGCGCGAGATGACTCGGTCCCTGATAGCACAGTTTATTCTAAGAATGTTTTTTAAACCTTCCAGTGAGAATATTCTTAGGATCATGCTATATTACTTCTAGTCATGTTCTAAGAATGTTTTTTAAACCTTCCAGTGAGAATATTCTTAGGATCATGCTATATATCTTCTAGGCATGTTCTAAGAATGTTTTTTAAACCTTCCAGTGAGAATATTCTTAGGATCATACTATATTTCTTCTAAAGAACATGCTTAAAAGAAACATAGCATAATCCTAAGAATATTCTCACTGGCCTCTAGGCAGGTTCTTAGAAGGTGCAAAGTTTAGTGGTAAAAATTAATCCACTCTAAACATATGCTTAGAATGTTTAGAAAGTAATTAGTATTTATAAATACTATATATAATACTATATATAATACTTATAAGTAAAAAACAACCCAAAATATTTTTTATAGTTATTTATCAAATTAAAACAATATTAGATAACAAAAATACTTTTACTATAGGTATATTTCTCAATTAACATTTTTATGTATAATAATCCTACTATCTTCAACTTCAATCTAATCTGACTTATCCCACAAAATTTTCCAATTTTACTTTTTATGAAATAATGTCATACAACTTATGGTTCAGAGGTCAAATTGTTTATTTAATATTTTTAAATAAATATATATAATATGTCGCAATTTTTTTTAAGGGGACGACAAATACATTTTACTTTCATATTATGACAGTGAGGCGTATTTGTCGCCTCCTGAAGAATTTTACGAATGTAGAATCCAACATATTAGAACGTGGGTATCTGACATATTTGGAAATATATTTATATGCTCAAAAGCTTCCTAGAAGCTCCATAAGAAACCTTCTGAGAACATTCCAAAAACGTATTCTTAAAATGTTCTTAGATTGCTTTTTAAGAAGGTTTTAAGAAGCTTCTAAGAATCTACTTGCATCATTAAAAGGGTATCTATTGAATGTTTTAAAAGTCCCTAAGAACATTCTTAGCAATAAGGGAAGGTTCTAAGAATATTCCATTATTCCGAGTCGTATCTTCTTAGAAGATTCTTAGAATCAAATTTTGCTATCAGGGGTAAAGCAGCGGGACTCGGCAAGCGGGCGGACTCGGGACGTTGGTTAAGGAAAAAATATCTGCAGCCGGGACTGCGTAACCTCGCTTTTCAGTTTAGTTATAGCTATGAGCGAGAAGGATGTACCAGTGTCTGTTGCGCAACGCATCATTATTCGTATTTTGGTCAAAGATAATGTAAAATCCGCGGAAATTTATCAAAAATTACTCGAGCAGTTCGGGGATGAGTGCCTCTCCAAGACTCAAGTGTATGAATGGTGTTCCGCTTTGCGAAAAGGCCGAGAAGTGGTGGCAAACTTGCCATATGCGCGGCGCCCCAAAACAAGTGTTACAGATGAGAACGTCAGCGCTGTAGAAAAACTCATTTTGGAAGACCGACACAGTACTGTACGCGATATGGCTGAAGAATTGGGCATCAGCGTAGGTAGTATTGAGCAAATAATTCATAAACGGCTCGGTTACCGCAAAATTTCAGCCAGATGGGTGCCAAGACTTCTGAATTTTGATCAGAAATTCACACGCTGGGAAGTTTGATGAAAACATTGAACAAATTGGGTTGGGAAACACTGGAACACCCTTCTAATAGTCCCGATTTGTCGCCATGCGACTAGTATTTGTTAGGTCCATTGAAAGAGGCACTTGGCAGACTGCGATTCGAAAGCAATGCGGAGGTAGAATACTTCGTGCGCGAATGGTTACGTGACAAGCCGAGAGATTTTTACGAACAAGGCATCCGAAAGCTTCTGGAGAGGTGGCAAAAGTGTGTAGAGTGTGACGGAGACAATCTAGAAAAATTGTGAAAAATTTCAGCTCTGTAACTTAATAATAAAAATGTTTAAAGCAAAATTCCGGTTTATATTTGAACCACCCTCGTATATTCAACAATTATTCAGTATACCTATATTTATTTATGACCATATTAACACATTTTTTCAAATAATCCACTTATTTATTTTGGTCAAAATAGATTTTTCTAACCTTAAAATACAAAATTAGATGATATTTTTTGTTCTAATACATTAACCTACCTTTGATACAGATATTCTTATTTCATAATAGAGACGTTAGATTTTTTTTAATAAATGCTGTTTAGTTAAAACTATTTTATGGAGAAATGTAGACCCAATGCACAAAAATATAACTTATATTCCACCTTACTTCCTAAATTCTTAAACCAACCATTGAAATTGTGATACTATAAAGATTTATTAACTTTTAACGCTTAAACATAAGCGATAACACTATAAATATTATTTCTTTCATTGACTATACTTTGACAGATATATAACCTGAAAAGCCTTAAATGCCAAATTTTCAAAAGACTGCGTTCCGTACGTGGTCACGTGGTGGGACTTTGAGGTGTGGAGCATAGTACCTATATGCTCTGAACTCCTGTGTTTATAAAAATTAAAATATATTATTTCAGCACTTTAAATTCATAATATTATATTTGTGGTTCGTCAGATTTTTAAGTACAAATTACCGCGCAAGAGTATACAGGGCTTCCCAAAAGTTCCAGTACGGAGCTACATAAGTTTTGAACGAAAATTGAAAATTTGGAGATCACTAAAAAACCATAAAAACTACATTCGAAGATAGTTTAGAACTTCCATGCAACGTGGATGACCACAACCAACATTTTGTCGTGTTATTTAAAAGGTAATGAAAAAAGAAACGCATCCCCATAAACCAAAACCCGATATGATGTGATATCGGCGATATCCTTATTATTTTAAGAATTAGAATTTTAGAGCTTTATAAAAATATGAAAATACTACCAATACCTACTACTAATAATAATATATAGGTACCCTTATTGATTACAAAAAAATACAATCAATGGGCAAAGTTGAGCTAATAAAAAGTTATAGCATGTTTGGTTTTCTACCCTTCCCAACCAACCAAAAATAATTACTAATAGTTCATTCAGCCTGTAAAGGCTGTAATTTTTTAATAAAAAATGCGATAAAAATTAATTACCTATTTAATAGGAAACTTGTAATTTAGTGAAATATTTTTTTTATTTAAATTTTTACCATTAATAAATACTTTAATTTCAACCCCCTAAAAAGGTAGGTTATAAACATTAGGGTATTAAAATACCTTTTAATTTTGTTCTATTAGTGATATTTATTTTATTTTTATATAATATATCAATATGTTAAATTTTTTTTTATAAATATTTACCTAATTAGGTAAATACTATATTTTATTTTTAATTTTTTTAGATTTATTTCTTTAATAGGTATAGCTAAATACTATATTTTATTTTTAATTTTTTTAGATTTATTTCTTTAATATATCTCAAATTTTTACATTTAAAATAAATGGTTGTTATTTGCCAAAAAAAATGTTGCACTATTTTTTAAAGAAAATTGTTAGCAGCGAAAAACATTTGTTTACAAAAATAGGTATATTTTTTATTTTTTTGCAAGCAAATATATTTAAAATCATGATAATAGAACAGAATGTTTGTCTGTCAGTGGTTTTAAAGGACCATTTAAAAAAAAACAGATAATAATAAAAATTAAAAAAATTTTGAAATGCTCGAAAATTTTAATTATTTTTACAAAAATGGCCGACCAAGAAAATTTTATCAGAGTAGTCAAGGAGAGCAAAATACCGTTTCATATAATAGACCAAACCATGTTCGTAAAAAGGGGAGTAAGCTGCCTTTCCAAAGTCTTAATACGAGCTAAAATGATCACGTGCTCCGTATTTTCCATCCTCGTTTCGCTCCTACCTCAATGTATCCGCACGACTCTGTCTACATAACATTCAACGTGGGAAAAAATTCACGGGAAAATATTTTTTTTGAAATTGTTTTGATTATTATAAAAACAAAAATCCATTATATAATATATATTTAACCTTTTATAAACAATTTGGTATCAGTTGTAAACGATATTACTTAAAAATAAAATTAGATTTTAGGTTTGCGCTCCTTAAAATATTAAATTCAAGAAATTCGCGCTCTTTGGACTACCGCCACATGAAAGGCGCATGCGCCTAACGATAAAACACGAAATGCTACGATGCCTGCTGAGACGCCGCCTGCTTACATTTTTTGTGTTTAATTGTTTAAAATTATGTTTATTTAGCAAAAATTTTAACAGCTAGGTTAAAAATGTTTACCAAGTTTCCGGGTTTAAGGTAATGAAGTGTCCCTTACCTTTCTCAAGCCTAACTTTTTCACGTGCAGCTTCTTCAGCTGTTAAGTCGCCTTCTTTTAAAACAACAACAGTTGGTAATTCTTCGTGGTTGTCTTCGAAATCCTCGTCCCGAACAAGTCCCAATTCCTCACGCTGTAAGTAGTATAAAAAATAAGCAAAAAATACAAAGTGAACCAACCTAACCTACTTTTGTTTCGATCGTCGGTCCTTCTACGTAACCGGCTTGTTCTTTAAGTTTTTTTAAAAAACTAGGTTCTTCAGGCTTTACATAAGCTATATTTCTTTTTGACATTTCGTCATTGAACCCACAAATATTAAAATAACAATCTAGAAATCACTTTTCCAACACCGCAATTTACAGTGGGGCCACTACAACGAAACTGAGGAGTTGCAGTTATACATTTAAAAAGCTTTTTCCGTACGCCAGTTTTGCCCTTCTCTTGGTTTATTTTTTACTTCTATTCCAAATGTTTTTTCTACCATGTCATTTTAAAATTTATGCCGCGTTATGGCAAAAAATAAAACCCAAATTTAATCGTTAAAAGTTTTATCTTAAAATTGCAGCTAAGATTTGATTTTGTTTGAAACACATTCTTGTTTTTGTTTTAATTTATAAATAAACTGGGTAAGTACCTATATGTACTATAGGTACTGGGTAAGTACCTATACTTACCTATTTAATAAAAGTTCTATTGTAGATCAATTTTTCCATATTAATATTACAGATTAAATAATTATCTAAATAAACAAATTATTTTTAGTTGTTAATAACACTGTAGGTAAATTTTCAACTTTTAAAATATTACAACTAAACGCTCGGACATGTAGGTAACATAATTTTTGGTCGTAGATTACAAATCCGTGTTCGGTTTAGGTGTATCAGGTCTAAAACAGATTTTCCTATTGGCAGTATACAGGGTGTTTCACATTCGTGGCCCATTAAAAGTTTCTGGGGAACAGAAAAAGATATCGATTTGAAATTTTAAAACCAATTAGGTATAATCCATTTAAGACTATTCTATCTAAGATATTTTGAACAAAATGCCACTTCCGGTTTGACTGTCCTATACCTAAAGTGAATAGTTTTTGAGTTACCTAATTTTTTTCGTTAAAAATTTAGAAATGCGCGTCAATCATAAATAGCCTATACATTTTTTGTTATTATTGTTGGTTTATTAAATTGTTACAGTTGCGCATTATTTTTGTTATTAAAATATTTCATAAAATAAATTTTATATTTTATTGTCTCCAATGAGCTAGTGATCTGGTTGAAATCCTACAGATTTGTTGAGTTTTTTCAAAAATTTAAATTTTTAAAATGTTTGGCTTGTCAATGTTTTTCATAAGTCCCTGAATGCTATTTTTCATCAGTAATATTTTTTAAAAACACAAATATGTAAACAAGTTGTTTATAACAACCTAAAAAATTGACGCCATTAAATTTTTAAAAATGACAGATTACCTGATACCCACTGTCAACTCCCCTGTCACATGTTTCTTGATATTTAAAATAGGGTAGGTATCTTTTAAATTAATAACTTAAGTATAGGGAATAGTTACAATGTAGTGGCGGCTGGTACCAAAATCCACCTGCTCCACATATGCTCAATAGTATTCATATCCGGAGACAAAGGTGGCCAATTTATTCTTTTAATATGGTGGTCCCTTAAATACTCATTTACGATATTGGCGCGGTTTGACGGGCATTGTCGTCCACCAACGCCAATTGAGGAGCATCCTTGCAAAACCGGCTATATCCATTTTAATAAAATGTTGGGAAAATGACCTTTACAGATAAAAAAATGCATCTTGGGTTTTGTGCCCAAAAAAAATGAATCTTGAGTTTTGTGCCCACAAAACTCAAGATGCTTTTTTTTATCTGTAAAGGCCAGGAAACAAGGAGTTTTGCCATTTTCCCAATATTTTATTAAAATGGATATAGCCGGTTTTGCACGCATGCTCCTCAATTATTGGTGGACCACGATATCACTAACAACCAAATCTCTGTATTTCTTAGCATTCACTCTTTCCATTCATCTCCATTCCACCCCAAACAGTCACTCTTCCACCTTCAAAAGCCACCCTTGCCTCCCGTTTCGTGCAATCTTCTGCGAACTGTAGATTTTGAGATGTTTAATCCCGTAGCTGCAGCCAAGTCTGGCATTGTTATTTGAATCATTTAAAGGAAGAATGGAAGTAACCTGGGTAAGATAGGGGTAGGTATGTAGGTAGGTAGGTAAAACTTATGCAAAAAAGCAAACTAAAAAAATCAAGAATATGCCTCATAATGCGTTTTGAATGATTTTCAAGAACTAATTTTCATTTGATCCTTGATTTGATCATCCAGCGACATTATAATAACGTACTAAAGATGCAAAACACTGTAAAACCAGTAAAAACCAGCAATCGTATTAGATTAAGACATTTAACAGCCGGGAATTGTTATCGAATCTTGATTCTTGGTGATTTTGGTTTTATCTCAAACTTAAATTTGACAACTGAATCATAATCAGGAGGTCAAAATTATGAAGAAAACATGTCACGAACGTAATTATCGGTTTAGGTTTAGTTTTCGCAAATTTTCACCAAAATAATATTTTGAAAAAGTTGTCTTTGCTTAGGCCCTCTGAAAATAATGGAAGTTTGTTGCTTGTCGCTTGTTCAGAATTATTTAAGGAACAATCTTTCATCATCTTATCTTCTTGTTTCTAAAAAGACTGAGTGAATTGCCCACAAAAAAGTGTTTTGGAAAAAAAATCATATTTTCGTTGCTAAGATTCCAATTCGAAAAATTTTAAAAACGTTTCAAGGTAAGACAATTCTTCATTATTTCAAAGTAAAAATGAAACAAAAATTATTTTTTTTACAAACGGGGCTTGGATGAAGTTATTGAAATTGTTCACATATCAACCTGTGGGAAATTTACTTGAAGAACCTTAACTGCCGTGCTTAATGAAAACGCCGTAACCAACAATTTTGCGATTTTTGGTTTACGGCATTTTCTACTAGAAAAATTCATCCTGCGTCTATCCCCGGTACTCAAAAAACCGTATCTATATCTATATCTATATATATATATATATATATTAGGGTGTCCCAAAAAAAAAGAATATATTTTTTTTCTTGTCTCTTGTAAAAATCTGTCAGTTTATCATGCTGTGAGAGCCCTTTCAAAATATCAGCTCGATTAAAAATTTTGTAGGGGTCGCTCAAGATTTTTAAAAAATTTCAAAATGGTCAAAAATTGAATTTTGTTTTATTTTAATTCTTTTTCTCGTCTCGATATTATTTTTTAGGTTGAAAATAATAAAAATTCTGTAAATTTCAAATCAATATTTTGATTTCTAAAGGTCGCTAAAAGTTCGTTAATATTTATATTCAGAGGTCGCTCGAAAACATTCAAAATACTCTACTTTGAAAGTTAAAAAATCTTGAGCGACCTTTAGAAATTAAAATATCGATTTGAAATTTTCAGAATCATTATTATTTTCAAATTAAAAAATAATATCGGAAAGAGAAAAAAAATTAAAATTAAAAAAAATACAATTTTTGACGATTTTGGTAATTTTTAAAAATCTTGAGCGACCCCTAAAAATTTTTTAATGGTGCTGATCTTTTGACAGGGCTCTTAAAACATGACAAACCAACATATTTTCACAAGAGACGAGAAGAAAAAAAATATTCTTTTTTTTTGGGACACCCTAATATATATACGGTTTTTTGAGTACCGGGGATAGACGCAGGATGAATTGTTCTAGTAGAAAATGCCGTAAACCAAAAATCGCAAAATTGTTGGTTACGGCGTTTTCATTAAGCACGGCAGTTAAGCTCAATTGAGCTTCATATTTATATCATGAATTGCCAGAGGATAAGGCTAGGAAACATCACAGACCAAAATAAAATCGTTCAAGAAACAAAAAAGTTGTGTCGTTTTGAAAAAGAACGAACTTTTTGGTCGCGACACATTAAAAACGCTTTTTAATTTCAAATCAATATCTTTTTTCGTTCCCCAGAAACTTCTAATGAACCGCGAATGTGGAACACCCTGTATATACGGTATACTGATATATTATAATTTGTAAAACATGTTATATATATCTTCATTATTTCAAAGTAAAAACGAAACAAAAATTATTTTTTTTACAAACGGGGCTTGGATGAAGTTATTGAAATTTTTCACCGTTTAACACATCACCCTGTGGGAAATTTACTTGAAGAACCTTAAGCTCAATTCAGCTTCATATCTATATCATGAATTGCCAGAGGATAAGGCTAGGAAACATCACAGACCAAAATAAAATCGTTCAAGAAACAAAAAAGTTATGTCGTTTTGAAAAAGAACGAACTTTTTGGTCGCGACACATTAAAAACGCTTTTTAATTTCAAATCAATATCTTTTTTCGTTCCCCAGAAACTTCTAATGAACCGCGAATGTGGAACACCCTGTATATACGGTATACTGATATATTATAATTTGTAAAACATGTTTTATATATTTTATATTTTTTTATATTTTGTTTAATTTTTTATATATTAATATATTTACATATTGCAATAAGATATATTTCACCCCTGCTGAAAATGACGGATGATTGCGGATATAAATTCTTCGTCAAAACCGGATACAAGCAGATGATTGCGGTTATAAATTCTTCGTTGAAGCCGGATAAAAGCAGATAAAAGCGGGTAAAAATATCATCTGGTAACATCTGCTTTTGTCCGCATCGCTATATCCGCGAACACCTGGTTGGTTGTGTTTTATGTCCGGTTAGTGCACCCCCGCAATCATCTGCAATCATCTGTTTTTAACCGTCTTCACTGTGTTTCGTTTATATCTGAATTTGTCCGGAATCATCTGCAAACGTCTGCTTACGTCTGTTTTTATCCGCGATTACCTGCATTTTTTTTCGTCTATTTTTGTCGGGTTTTATCTGCAAACGTCTGGTTTTATCCGCGAGCATATGCTTTTACCCGCGAACATCTGCTTTCATCCGCGAATATCTGATTTTATCCGCCAACATCTGCTTTTATCCTCGAACATCTGCTTTCATCCGCGAACATCTGCAGTCACCCGCGAACAACTGCTTTTATCCGCGAACATCTGCAATCACCCGCGAACATCTGCTTTCATCCGCAAACGTCTGGTTTTATCCGCAAACATCTGCTTTCTTACGGTTTCACCCACAAACATGCTTTTATCTGCGAACGCCTGATTTCATCCGGTTAGTGCACCCCCGCAAACATCTGCTTTTATCCGCGAACATCTGCAATCACCCGCGAACATCTGCTTGCATCCGCGAACATCTGCAATCATCCGCGAACATCTGCTTTTATCCGCAAACATCTCATTTTATCCCCGAACATCTGTTTTATCCGCAAAAATCTGCTTTCATCCGCGAACATCTGCAGTCACCAGCGAACAACTGCTTTTATCCGCGAACATCTGCAATCTCCCGCGAACATCTGCAATCACCCGCAAACATCTACTTTTATCCGCAAACATCTGCTTTCATCCGCGAACATCTGCTTTTATCCGCGAACCTCTCATTTTATCCGCGAACATCTACAATCATCCGCGAACATCTGCTTTTATCCGCAAACATCTCATTTTATCCGCGAACATCTGCTTTTATCCGCAAACATCTCATTTTATCCGCGAACATCTGCTTTTATCCGCAAACATCTGCTTTCATCCCCAAACATTTGCTTTTATCTGCAAACATCTGATTTTATCCGCAAATATCTGCTTTTATCCGAGAACATCTGCTTTTATCCGCAAACATCTCATTTTATCCGCAAACATCTGCTTTCATCCCCAAACATTTGCTTTTATCCGCAAACATCTCATTTTATCCGCGAACATCTGCTTTCATACGGTTTCACCCGTAAACATGCTTTTATCTGTGAACGCCTTATTTCATCCGGTTAGTGCACCCCCGCAAACATCTGCCTTTATCCGCAAACGTCTGATTTTATCTGCAAACATCTGCTTTTATCCGCAAACATCTGATTTTATCCACAAACAACTGATTTTATTCGCAAACATCTGATTTTATCAGCAAACATCTGCTTTTATCCGCAAACATCTGTTTTAATCTCCAAACATCTGATTTTATCCGCAAACATCTGCTTTTATCCGCAAACATCTATTTTAATCTGCAAACATCTGCTTTTATCCGCAAACATCTGATTTTACCCGCAAAAATATGCTTTTATCCGCAAACATCTGATTTTATCCGCAAACATCTGCTTTTATCGGCAAACATCTGCTTTTATTCGCAAACATCTGATTTTATACGCAAAAATCTGCTTTTATCCGCAAACATCTGATTTTATTCGCAAATATCTGCTTTTATCCGCGAACATCTCCAAACATCTGCTTTTAATTGCAAATCTCTGATTTCATCCGCGTTCGGTTTGCCTGCATTTCCTTTGTCCATTTCGGTCCTGTTTCGTACGCAAACGTCTGGTTTCATTCGCGCTTTTTGTTTTCCTTTTTCTCGTGTATACTTTAGTTTAGTTTATCCGGTTTGTCAAATTTTACTGAGCTTTCCGCGAACATCTGCAAACATAAAAATATAAAACATCGTCATTCTGTGGAAGGAGTCAATTTTGCCCATTTTTAGCGTCACGAGATTTATTTACGGCCTCTTTGTATCATTCGATTGACTTAAGTTTCTACCTTAAATATTTTACTTTAAGTACTAATAGTAAAAGATTCATTTTAAAAACTTTAAAATGCACAAAACAAATACGGTTAAGCCGGCAAAACGAAAATAATGCTTTAACCTCACTTTTTTAATAAATTAGCCAGAGAGTTGGTTGATTAGTTTACAAACTAGCTAAAGCTTGGCTATTTTGTGTTACTAGAAATTTTGGTTTTCATATTAGCCAAACTAAATTGGATAGTATACAAACTATCCAGCTATTTTAGTTTCCCTGATTATTTTTTTTGACAGTTCTCTGTATTGTTGGGACATTGTTGAGGCATTGTTGTTGAGGGAACCTACAGCGAATTACAGCGATAATTTTCTGAAAATTTTCTCTGGTAGTTGCTATATATAAAAAACAAATTAAATCTTAATTAAATGTTGTTTTATTCATTATGAAATTCTTATTTGTTAACTGTACATGGTGCAATTCTATTGGCCGACATTTGGGACGGAAAAATAATCCCCCGAATACCACACGAGCTTCAAAATTATCTGGCATTTCCCTCAAGGTTCCCTGCAAACAAATAAAGTCGTCAAGTTTTTCAGGAAAAATCACTCGCGTCACTGACTCCTTCATTTGTTTGCAACGAACCTATCGGGAAAAATACCCGATAATTTTGAAGCTCTTGTGGTATTATAAGTTATAATTTCATGTAAATTAGCCAAGATCCTTGGCTATTTTGTAAACTAGCCGCTAATTTAGTTAAATATGTATTCAATTAAAATAGCTGACAGTTTGGCTAGTTTACAAACTATCCAGCTAGTTTATAAACTATCCAAGTTTGCACATTAGCCATAACATATAAGGTAAGTGCGGGTAATAAGGCCCAGCAGGTTACAAGGCCCCACAGCCATTTTACCTTCATTTTTTAAATTATAATACTGGGGCTGCCATCTTATAAGATATATATGATTTTACTAGGTAATATTTGATATTCGATAGAGTTGCGCCTTAATAAGATGTCGTTTGCTGATCGTAAATACAACAAGTGTTTCGAAAAAAAGTTTCTTTCGTGAAATTATAAAAATTGTGGTATTTTCCTAGAGCTGTGCCTAAAAAGCGTTCATTTAATTGCTGCGCCATTAGAGGTATGTATCAATACACATATTACCAATGTTTTCCGAGAAAATGATTGGTTTTGTACTATGCATGTCTAAGTTATAACCTTAAAACAAGGATCGTTACAAAGCAGGTAATAAGGCCCACCAAATAATGAAACTGGGAAGAAACTCCTAAAGGCCAGCGGCTCGGCAACAAAATTCAAGAAGAAAGCGAAGATCACTCAAACGAAGGCCATTGTAGAACCATCGACCTCGACAGAAAGCGCAGACGCCAACCCCGAGGAAGATTGGTTCTGCAAGCTTTGTGAATTGGATTTTAAGGCTGATATGCGTCAGTGTGCCATGTGCCTTACCTGGGTTCATGAAGAATGTGTCGGACTGACGCCTGAGGATGAAGATGTGTTTATTTGTCCCAAATGTGCACCCTGAATGGATGGGCTTTATTATCTGTTGAGCATGAAATAAGGCCTATTAACGAGTTTTTTAAAAACCTAAGAATTTTTCTTTTTGTTTATTTCATTTGAGTTTATAAATGTTACAGTATATACCTAGTTTAAAGTTAATATAATATGTGTATGAAATAAAAAAAATAAAAAAATGTGCACGTTTTCTTTGTTTTTTTAATATAATGCGTTATGTGGGCCTTATTACCCGCACTTACCTTATATACATATATGCAGGGTAAGAGGAACAAATATTACTTAAACAAAAATTTATTATAAATATTTTTCAAATTGGGTAAAATAAACATTATTGTCAAAGTATGCATAAAATAATATTACCTACAATGTATCCATAGCTTACAAAAATGTACTACCGTTTAGTTTTAACAAATTTAAGTACTTATAATACTTAATATCGAGCTTAAAATATTAATACATAGTATGGATTCCATACATTTGTGTTTTAACACCTAATAATACAAAATTCGATGTATTTTATATTAAATATATCTACAAAAAAATGCCAAATATGAATTATGAAAATAGTTTCATAAATTTGGTTTTAACTAATAATTTTCATACTTTGCAAAAAATTATTGAATACCATAATGAAAATGTACAATATATTTCTATGCAAATGTCTATGTAGAATGAAATAATATACACTTGAAATACATTTTTAAAATTACTACATTGTTTAGCACACTTTACTTGCAAAAAATATTAGTTAAAATATCTATTATTTACAGCCGAGTTGCTTCTGAGCTTGTAGTTACATTTTTTGGATATTCTCTTCTTGAAGATTGCCTGGCACTGTAGTATCCGAAGTTAGGATCGGTTGGACTGACCAAGCTTTGCCTAGGACTTTGGAAGAATCGTCCTTCGGCCGTCCCTCCACCCGGAGAGGCTGCCTCCAGGCATTCACAGGATAGACTAGAATCGGATAAAGCTTCATTGGAATACTTAGGCACAGATAATAGACTTTCTGTTGACTTAGTTGGTTGGAAGTATTTTCTGTGTGCATGTGGAGTGTATTGTGGTTGATTGGCGGATACACTGTTAATTTGATGCTTTTCAATGCGAACGTATTGAGTATTATTTTGATTTTTCGAATGACTTCGGCTATTTGATTTAGCTGAGCATTTTGATGATGTATCCAGGTATCCATACCCAAATCCATAGCCCCCAATTGATTTAGTTGCAAGATTATCCCAGGATTTGGGCTTTATTTGACTATATTGCACGTAAATTGGTTCGTGTTCTTGGGGTTGTTGTGAATATCTTTGTTGATGATTATGCTTGTTTGACTTAAGACTTAATTGCCTAGAGTTACTAGTATCACAAGAGCCGTCCCAATAGAGGGTATCAGTGCTCAATGAAGTAGTATAGCTAGTTGCTGAACTTTCGCCAATAGTGGTTGGAACTGCGGCACTAAGTTCACTAGATGTGCACGAGTGTAAGCTACATTGACTAACAAGGCCCGCTCCGATTTGAAAGTAACGCCTGGGTTCCGAGTAAGTTTGAACGTTCTGCATTTGTGTATGTGAATGTTGGGAATGTGGACGAGATCTAACTGGTTGTGGATCAGTTTGCGTTTCCTCAGTCTTGGAATCTCTTTTCCTGTTTTCCTTCTGACGGGAACTCCGTCTTCTAGAGGGGACACAGCGTGGATCACAGCAAGCACTTGCTAAATCATAAGCGTCCAGACTAGTGTTGTCACCGTTGTTGGTGTTTGTTTGAATGCATGGGTTGCATAAATGTCCGCCGTATGCGTGGCAGGGCCCGTGCGGTTTCATCTGTTTTTCTCTAGCGTTCATTTGATTACCGCGACTTTGAATGGACTCGTTTGGAGTTTTGATGACAAAGTTGTGTGGTTCGGTTTTGTATTGGGGCTGTTCATAAGTAAGCAAATATTCACCACTGCTACTATTCGATTGGTGTAACAAATATCGATAGCTTGAATCTAAGTATTTGTAGGCAAAAACTAAAGGTGGATTTTGTTGTTTGTGCTGCACTTTTGCTACGTCTTCAGTGGAGACCGTTGGGCGGCAATATGAATAGGAAACTTGCGTTGGGGTTGGAGGATCTCCGTTGGTTGCTTGGGAAGCTTTTTTACGCGCTGGTAAACTGTGCGTTTTCCATTTCCCTTCCAACAGTTGACGTTCTCGTATGCAAAGCTTCTCAAGCTCTGCCATTTTGCTTTGAAGAATTCTTTGCAATTGAATGTATCTCATGTGAAGTTCCACCTGCAAAAAGTAAAATAAACATCTTGTAAAGATCATTATTTTATTTAGTTAAGATATGAAACGTAAAAGGTGACACCAGTAATTGCCATTATAAGCTAGTGTTTACACAAAAAAGCTAAAAAAGTACCAGAAGAAATTTAGATTTCGTCCTAATAAAAAGCCATGGTGGTTAATAGATACTTATAGAAGGTATTACGAAACATTAAAAATTAAAGACATAATTAAGTACAATATAAATTTTTTTTATTGAGGTATAGAGAACTAGTAATTGCCATGACCATTTTTAAAAAAAACAGTAGTTGCCAGTGTACCTGGTCAGTAATTGCCACTAATTTATTTTATTAAATAAAACAAAAAAAATGGAAAATGGCATACCATCTTGGCAAGCAGCCAAGGCAGATTCTTTACTTTCTTTGGAATAGCGAAAAAAGGGCTTGTTTTTTGGTTCCATGTTGATCAATTTGGATTTTATACCTGTATCAATAATTGCCACTAAAGTGAACCAGTAATTGACACATTCAAAAGAGGTGGAAATTACTGGATTCTCTTTGAATATAATGTTCTTATTAATGTCAAGGATAAACTAAATATTATAGGTTAGTTTAGAGCTTTAATAAAGGTCATAATACGATAATCCAAAATTCTCCAGTATACTGGAGGTAATTACCACAAATGGCAAATATTGGGTTAAAAGAAAAAAATGCTCCAGTAATTGCCACTACTCTAAATCAAAATACTCTTTTAATTTAACGAACAATTTATATGCGTTTCATTTAAACTACTTAGCATATATGCCTATTGCACAAACAACACTTAAATTGATTAACAACATATGCCAATATCACGAAAAACTAATCTTACACTTTCTTAACCAAAGTCACAAGAAATCTTTTATAAACAGCTGATTCAACAAGTTGCCTGAATATTTTTTTCCTGTCGAAAAATGCGCCACCTGGTGTCAGTTGTTCTAAATACATAATACGCTAGATACACTTTCTTACACATAGGCAGTGCGCCATATGCACAGATATTGCATATAGCTTTGTTTTTGAATTTCTAAATATTAAATGGCAACTACTGGTACAGTGGCAATTACTGGTGCCTTTACCCTACTTACATTTTTAACTTTGGCAAAGTTTTAATTATTTATTACAATTATTATTGCGCTAACATTATTTATATTAAAAAAAAATAAAACCGTTTACCTTTTTAATATTTAATTTATTGAAATTTACAACAATTTTAATGGGCGAACGACTTTAAATTACGGTAAGGTAATAATGTGATAACTTGTTTCAATTGCAAAAATATTTATCTGAAGACTATAGTTTTCACCAATTGATTTTAAATAAATTAGATTTACGGTAAATATTTTACCATAATATTATTTTAAATTTAAATAGGCTTCAAACCTATTTGTAAGATCTTATTTGTTTTTAAATAAGGTTGGGTTTCAGGAAAAACCTTATGGTAGGCCAAACATTTTTTTTTTTGAAAAATTGTCAGAAGAAATAAATGTCCACTTATACGGGGTGTCCGTTTTTTGAGGCTAAGCAATGGTATCTGGCTTATCTTTAGAGATACAACTATAGTTGCTTAAATTATGAAAAGGTTGTCATTTTTATACCGATCAATGAACTAAAAGAAATTAGTTAAATCATATCATTTTTAGTTTTTGAGATATCATGATATGAAAAACGGGGTTTTATTAAAAAACGGTTAAAGGTAGTCTTTCTAATGCAGACATTATTTATGTACATTTTTAAGGGGAATTCAAATCTGCAAAAATATTTTTTCCACTTTTTAAAACTGCTGAAATTAAATAAGCATGATATCCATGCTTAGCCTTGAAAAACGTAAATAGTATTTAAGGATACTTTTTTTCTTAATAATTGAACAGCTGTTTAAAAAAAATGTTTTAAACTGCAGTAAATACTAAATTATAATATAGTTTTGGTGAGAAGGTAAACAAAACGTATTTTTTTCTGGTGACTTTTTTAATAGGTCCAAGTAACAGTTATAGTTACCCAATGATTTGCAGTTAAAAAACCATTTAAGTTGTTTTTGTTTTTTTTTTTAAATTACCTAGGTATATTAAATATTTATACTTATTTACAAAAGTACTTTTTAATTGTTACCTTTCTGACACAGTCTTCGAACAGCACCACCATCCTCATCCTGGTATCGCAATTTTTTATAAAATTAACTAGAGTTTTGTGATCAGCTTTCTCCATGTCGGTTCCATTAATCGAAAGAATGACGTCTCCTTCCCGCATTCCAGATCTGTATGCAGGCCCATCGTAATCAACGTAGTCCACGTACGTGATCATTTCTATTTCCTGCTCCTTTTTGTAATGGATTCCATAGCTTTGCAACGTGAAGCCATACGAACTGTTTTTCTTTTCTACTATTATCGTGCGCCGCCTGCGGTCTTCTTCCGGCTTTGTTACTGTCACCCTGTCGGACTGGACTCGTTCCAAAATTTGAGACTATAATAAAAAAGTCATGTTACGCTTATGTAAAATCATTTTACTAAAATGTACCAAAAAATATATATAATCCCGGCGCATCCCCCAAAATTTTATGTTTAAGTGGTACTAAGTTACTTAATTTAATTTTAACTACAGTACCGAGTTAAAATTTTGTTTTAATTAGACTCTTTGGACTCTTTATTTCTTTAATTAAAAAACCATTTTATCCAAATAAATAAAAAATTATAGGGCAAACAAACCCAAATAACTCTGGTCAACATGAATTTACCGTCTGAGATTAGAGCATGCGATTAGGACAGGGGATTATTTATAAATAATAAAGGTTAACCTTAGAATTTTACCGGTTTTTTTATACAATATAGTATTGAAAATATTAGAAATTGTTAAATGTTACTTGGAAATCGAAAGATTCTTTAATGTTCTATTTGATTATGTTAAAACATACAGGGTTTTACATTTATAATATAAACGTTATTATTGTTTGCCTAGTTTCAAGTGCTTTTTCTTAAGGTATTTGTTGAAAAACCTTAAAAAAATTAAATTATTTAAACAATGTTCTAATATTCCAAAAATTCCAACCCCATGTCAGCAAACATAATAACCAAAAATTTTTTTAATAACGTGCATTTAGCAAAATTTTAACGAAAAAAATTAATATCTTGAAAACTATTGACTTTAGGTATAGTCTAAATCAAATTGTATATACTATTAAAATTTCAAATCCATATCGTTTGCGTTTCTCAGAAACACCCTGTATAGCATTGTATTAAAAATAAAATAGTGCAAAATAACCAATAACAAAAAATCGAAAAACAACTGAATAAAAAATATAGATATATCTAAATAGCCGATTGCAACATAAAAAATAAAGTCTTTATTCTAATTTATTTATTGGGTAAATATTACTTTCCTCATGCTTCCAATGGTAGGTTACCATAAAGAAAAGTCTATGATGCCTACTATGATCAAAATTAGTAAATATGAAAAATTTTAAAATTTTTAAATAAATATGTAAGAATTGTATGTTATATATAATATATTATGTGTAATATATTATGTTTAATATGTAATTTATAATACATTATTTTATAAAACTAGATAAAAGATAATATAATTTGTAAAACACGTTAGTAACTTAAAAATGGTTTCTCTCGTAGAAACATAATTTGCATGTAGAAGCTTATATATCAAATAATAGTTAATTATCAGTACTTTAACGTGATATACTCAAAATTATAAAACAACGTTGCTTCTTCGACTTTTTAACCCTTAAAAAATGGAAAAATTTTAAATTAAATTGTCCCCAGCGCCCCCTGTATGTTAAAAAAATAAGTGGATTTATTGCCACTAATAAGTTCTACATTTTATCTTAATTTCAAATGGATACGTTTTTAAATAAAAATGTTATTACAAAATATCAAATTTTATCTACTTTTAACACAGTAGAGTGACTTAAGGCCTGAAAACCACAGCGGTCAATGGATGAAATTTTTTTTGAAAAAAATGCTCCATTTAGATGTAGAAACAAAGTTAAAAAATATATTAAATTCTGACATCACTTGCAAACGAATGTCCAAAATTTGTTCGATTTTTACGCGAAACAATAGTTAATTTGCATGTGATATTAGTAATAATGCTATTATGTTAAAAATCTTGACCATATATTTATATTTATGTTGTATTTACACCTGTTATAAACATTTATGTTTTTTTGGGTTTAATAAATAAAAATAATAAATAAAAATAAAACAATAACAAAGATACAATATTGAGCATTTTTGCTTTAGCTGTCAAAGTGACAAGACTGGTGATAACCGGAAGTAAGGTTTGTTGTCCATAAAGGAAGTTTAGATTTTGATATCAACGGGATGATAGTCATAGATAATAAATCATGATAGTCGTTCCAAAATTGTGAGTCGTTTAAAACTACGTGTCCGCCATTGTACCCAAAGATAATAATATGTTTGATTGTAACCATGTGGTTAAAAGGTATGTAATTTAAAGTTACTTACATATTTTAAAATAACAAAAAAATATATATTAAATAATATCATTGATTATTGAAAACTTCTTCACTCAACGGTAATATATTACTTCTACTCCGTAGAACTGCCCGTATACATTTATATTTTTGTATATATACTCGTACGTATACGTATTTTGTTGCAGTCAGCACATACAATTTTTTCAACCGCTGGATTTAAAAATTTAAAATTGTAGTATTCTTAATACTGCTTTTTGAAAATGTACTGTCAAAATATCAGATTTTTTTCAATGGAAAGTGGGTCCGGGTGATATCACATGTGACACAACATTTAAAAGGTATTTGCAAGCTTATCATAACCATTTACGTACTTTTTATATTGTTTAAACTGTAAACAATCTAAAAAATAAAACTTTACAGGGTTTGTAAAAAACAACATAATTATCTTCTGATTTATATTAAAACACGTTATTTTTGCAATGACTCCATTTAGACTTTAGTATGTTGGTGTACAAAAAATGAAAATGGCGCTGTTTGGTAAAAGTGTTATTTTTATAAATGTTAAAAAGTGTTACCCGAGGTTAGGTTTAAAATACTACAATTCCAAATTTCTAAAATAAAATGTTTAAATTTTAGTTAAATACTTTTAAAATTAAATTTTTTTTGAATTTTTTAATTAAAAGAAAATTGTACGTCAAATAGTAGTATTTAATGCCTGCAGGCATGGTTTAAAATACCATGTTTTAACATACTGAAAGGTTTAATTTCTAAATACAGAGGTTAAAAAAATAACGTCCATCGTTCTTATTGGCCAAATTGGTCATGTGATCTAACGGACGTGTCCAATGATATATGTATATATACAACCATGTCCAAAATAAAAGGAGGGATTTTTAGGCGCTCACTGTAGGTACAATGTACAGTGAGCGCCTAAAAATCTATCCTTTCATTTTGGACATGGTTGTATCATTGGAGCCAAAGTGGATTTTGCCGAAATATTTTAAAGTTTCAAGTTAAAAGACTTACCCTGTATTGAGCACGTATAATATATGTACACTGTACATATATTATACGTGCTTAATACAGGGTAAGTCTTTTAACTTGAAACTTTAAAATATTTCGGCAAAATCCACTTTGGCTCCGTCAAGTCCTTGGACTGTCAAAGTGTGGTGTGGAATGGTTGGCAACAAACTCATCGGTCCCTACATCATTGAAGGGAACTTTGACGAAATGTACCGAGATGTTTTGGAAAATAAACTGCCCACATAACTTGAAGACTTAAGCGCAATTTTAATGGTCGCTGGATTGGTAGAGCTGGTCCGGTTAGTTGGACTGCTAGATCACCTGATCTTACTTCGCCGGATTTATTTTTGTAGGGATATCTCAAAGATATCTCAAAGACCGTGTTTATCAACAAGTACCAACAATCCGTGAGCGAATTAGAAATGCTTGTGCGGAAATTCCAGCAGATACCTACTCTACTTACTTGTGTAGACTTATTTAAAATCCGAATTAATAAGTGCATTGAAGTCGAAGGCCACCATTTTGAGCACCTACTTTATTAAAAATTCGAAAAAAAATTGTTTTGAGCTAAATTTGTATTCCTTTAGAAATTTTAAAGTTACCCCATGCCCTCCCTATAATGATGAGAGTATGGGGAATAATTTTGGTATTAATTTCCCCCCTCGAATCATTTAATTTTTATTTTAAATATTTTTTTCGTAAAATGCCTATTTACTGATATATGTCAAAGACTTAAGTTAAAAGACTCACCCTTTAGGTATCTATTTGTTAATTTTAATTAAAAATGAAATTTTTTTTAATTAATAACAATAACGACATTGTTCAAGGATGTTGTATATATTAAGAATAAATATATACTATATAATCGTTTGTACGTACCTATAGGTACCTATATAAAGGAATACTATGCATAACAAACCTGCATATTAATAATAATTATAATAATAGTAATTACCTACCAACTAATTTATATATGTCAAAGTAAGGCGTATTAAGGTATTCCAATAATACGAATAATAATACATATATTATCTTTGGACTAATAAAGGATTATTATTGTAATAATAATCCTTAAATCCTTAAAGTCAAAGATCACAAAGTAATAAAAGATAAATCACACATTCTTTGGTAATTTTTTTTTATTACGACCCTGCATTTAAAAGGTAGGTAACAATTAAAAACGACATTGAATATTTAATAAGGTGCAAACAATTCGTTGTTTTTAACAATTTACCCATGAATCAAGTCTGACTAAACTGTTTAGACATAAAATATTGATGTTTAGGTGTAAAAATACGTACCGGGGATGAGGTGGTGCACTCCTCATCGCTCTGGTCAATATGCAACTGCGTTTGGCTTTGGGTTTGCCTCCTCATTTTTATAAATAACTACATAACTTGTACACATCACACACAAATGCATTGCAACAAGAACGTCACAGGAATGTACACCATTTTCGAGCGAACAGCTGTTCAATAACGTGCGCCACTAGCACACGACGCCGACGGGCGTCGAGACGTGGACGCCCGCCATTTTACATTCGGCTTATCGATGCGTGTGCGACGCCGTTCACCGTCTGTCCGACACTCACTCTAAACCCATGCATCATGATGTAATGCATTACTACTGTTCGGTTAAAACGATTTACGTGTAGGTACTTACAACTATCAACGTGCTATTTGTAATTGTTTATCAAATTGATACCTATACATTTTTTTGCATTTACTTTATATTTTGTATTATGTAAACTGCTCAAACAATTGTTTCAAAATAAATCCATACCTACCTATATACTTTACATTATGAGTAAATAGATTTAAAATTTAAATTTCAACATGCATTTTGCAGACTTAAGTCTGCTCCTCATATATATTTTTTGTGGTATAAATTAAAAACTTTATGCACTTTAAATACATGAGTATGAGTATAAGTATAAGTATAAAAGTCGTATAACTGCCTCATCTCTCTGAATATTTTGTACCGATTTATAATTCGAATAATTACGTTTGCTGTCCTGTAGGAATTCTCTTTTTCTTGCTTGTCGGTTTTGTTTTCCTGGTTTAGATGCGTTGAAGACGCCTAAACTCTTCGAGACGGTTGGAAGAAAATTCAAGATTACTTTATTAGCCGTCATTAATAAATACTGAAATACAGGGTGAGGCAAAAAGGTTGCCCCATTTTCAAAGGGTCATTGTTCGGCTCGTTGGGGGGATAGAGCAGTGCGAGGTTGCTTTAGGTACGTACGTGCATGCCATTTTCAGTCGTCATAATGAATCTGTCAGAAATATTTGGGATGTCAATAAAAATCAAACTAAGAAAAAAGCTTTTTATTTTTAGGAAACATGTTTTTAAACATTGTCCACAAAATTTGGAAAATCTAAAGGTCTTAAAGGAGCAATGACGAGCTGTCGTAATAGGCTTCAAATGTGCATTGACAATAACGGCGGACATTATCTTTAAAAATAAATAAAATAATAATAAGTGCACTTATTATTTTATTTATTTTTAAAAATAATGTCCGCCTTTATTCACGGTAGGCAGGAAGCATCGATAGGTTGCACAAAAATGTCGACAAAAACTCCAAGGTGGGTTGTATTTGTTGATGATTATAGTTGCAAAATCCGTTGGAATTGAAATCCTAACTGCTCCTTTTCAAAAGTTATTCATATTTTTATATTTCAGATCGGACCAAATTGAAATAGATGGCACTATGTACACAAAAAAAATTATTTTAATTGTTCAACGCATTCCAAAATAATGGGGTGGTCCCGTCTTATTTAGCACACCCTGTATATATATTAGTATAGGTATAGGTACTATTTATATTACATAAATGAATACATAGTATCCAATACTAAAAGTTTGGGCATAATTATTAAACAATAGTTAATAATAATTATTGGAAGCAACTCCCCCATATTACGTAGTAGACTGTGCATTTATAACTTTCATTTTATTAAATGTCATTTGCGATAGCGTGGCTACGCGTTGTACAACAATTGTAGAGTTCTTCTTTTGTTATAACAATATAGTGATAAATAAATAAAATATGTAATTGGTACGTGAGATTGTACCGAAACGTCGTCAGAGATACGGTTCTTCTAAGAACCAAAAACCGAAAACACGTAGCAGATCCCGGAAAACCACCAATACATATATTACATATATTCCAGTAAAGGAAAACAGTAAATAAAAATGCAAATTTTCATCAAAATCACTTTAAAAAATTAAATAAATATCATAAATGTAAAATGAAAAATTCTTAATGTAAATAAAAAATTTTTGCTTGAAGCAGATGATTAATTAATCAAGTGATTAAAAATACTAAACTAAATAATCACAAAAGTAAAATCACAAAATCCTAAGGCAAATAAAAATCTTGGAGTACCTAAATAAAAATGCACAGGTTCATAATTTAAATTATTGTGAAATCCCAAGAAAAATAATCAATTGTGATGGAAAAATGTTTGATATGATTTAATCTTTATATTTTTCACACTTACCTGAAATCCTTTAATAACTTTTATCAATTTATACCCAACTATAATAACACGTGGACGCAAAAAACACAATAGAAAAATAAATACAATACAAACACAACTCGATTGCAGAAATGTAATAAGGTTATGTTTTTGTCGAATTACCGCGTTGACCGGTTACGCGCGAATTTTAAAATTTGAATTTAAATAATAAATTATAATTTATATATATACAAATCAGTTCATGCATGTCATTTTAATTGAAATTACCTAGTGAAACAATGCAAATTGAAATTTTACGTTATTTCATTATTATTGATTGTATCATTTTTGTAATTATAAGGTAAATAAAAACGAAATCTACTGTTTTTTTATAGAATCTGGCATCACTACCGATAAGCACAGTGTAAGAGATCATTGATCACGTCGTGCGCTCATACTGCGCTCTGATCACGTCGTGCACTCATACTGCGCTCATCGCGTGAGCGCGCACGGCTATGCTACTCATATGCGTGTGAAATCGACCACACGTGTGCGTTCTCACGCCGTGCGACCTACGTGTGACGCACGATTGCTATCTGGGTGATATTATTGCCAAAAATTGGTGGAAACAAATTATTGCCAAAAATCGGTAAAAATTCAAAGTATTCGGTATTTCGGTATGTTCGTTGCCATTTCGGCAGAAATACCGACATTTCGGTAAGTTCGACAACTTGCCAATAATATGATAATTATCGTATTATACTGTAGCGAGTACCGCTCTGGATATCGGAGTGATGACTCATCGCCGGTGAGTCATCGCCGGTGAGTCATCGCTGGTGAGTCGGCGCTCGAACAATCGAGAGTGTGGAGCTCGCTGGAATGTTCCAGAAGACATAGGCGCTGAATATATAGGAACGACGCATCACAGAGGAGTCAGTTGAGCTTTGGTACTCGCGAAGAAATAAATAAATATAAGTGCAAATAAATAAACTAGTAGTGATATAAATAATTAGTAGTTAAGTGTTTAGTTAGTTTTATAGTGTTTTAAGTGTAGTTAAGTTATTAAATAAATAGTTTAGTTCCCCAGATAACCAGCGTCCTTCCGTTTGCCGGTCAGTTGCCTACTATTCGTTCTCTTGATATGGTAGCCGTTTGCTGTCAAGTGGGTGCCACCATTTGACTGTCTGTAGACAAAAATTTTTTCTAACAATATATTGTGTGCAATCCACCGGCAACCGACGGGAAACATTTTGCTTATAATTATTGTGGACAACATAAGAGTTTATAGGCGGAAATGTTTCCTGACAACTTATAGTGTGCAACCCACCGGCAACACACGGGAAATCTTTTGCGTATACTGATTGTGGGCAACGGATAGGAAATGATTTACCTATTCAAATTCACTGAATTTGGTGGCAATTTGCCGATAACGAATCAGAAATTAAAATAAATAAATAAATGAAGCAGAGTGGCCTTACCCACAAACATTTATTCTAAAATGGGGTTATAATTTTAGGACAATATACATATATATATATATATATTTGGGTGCTTTTTTTAACAAAGTTTTTCATTTCCGAAAAATATATTGTCCAAAAATGATGGTAACATCATTTAAGAAAAAACATTTGTGGGTTATGCCATTCTGGTTCCAAACGCTTCATTTACCTATTCATTTTAATTTCTGATACGTTATCGGCAAATTGCCACCAAATTCAGTAATGCCTCATTTATTGGTATTGTTATTTTAACAAGAGGGTTAGGCGTAAATTTTCATACTCGAATTTTTTCAAACGTCGTTTTATTACAAAAAAACCTATATTCACAAAGAAATAAAATTATAATAATAATATAAATATTTATATACACAACAGAATAACCTTATAAGCCGATAATTTATATAATAATAAATAATAATAATAATAATAAATGTTCTTTATTGAAAAAAATACATTTTTCAAAAGGCCATTGACTTTCGTCCTTCAGCCGGGAATAATAAATATATTTATTATTATATAAATTATCGGCTTCAAACAGGCGCAGCCTTATGGAATCTTCATTGTTTACGTTTGGATCTCGACGCTTAAGTCTGATTTATAGATTGCCTTTCTTCCTTCCGTAGAATATGAACAATACAAAAACCGTTGTGCTTTTTAAAGATTCCCATACGGGAATCTATAAATGGCACTACGATTTTCGTATTGTTCATCTTTTATGAGAGGAAGGAAGGAAGGAAGGAAGGAAGGAAGGAAGGAAGGAAGGAAGGAAGGAAGGAAGGAAGGAAGGAAGGAAATCTATAAATCAGGCTTTAGCGGTAATACGTTGACGCTGTTTTGCGGCAAAACTTTTGCCACTCGCCGTTACCTCTCTTTGAAGTTCAACACGCATTGGTGGATCAAAGTTTTTATTGGTACCCACAGCTCCTGCAATAAATATATGTTTAGCAATAAACATATCTTTAGTTTGTATAAAACATTATTTAACATACCAAAAATAGCCCTAACAAGACCAGGGTTGTAAAGGGGATGATTGCCTTGCTCATCCCCCCCATGTATATTGCATATCTCGTCGGAGATAAACTTCCTGAACAGTTTATGAATGTGTTCTTTTAAGGTGTCACCACCTATAAAGGCCCCATAATCAATCTGAAAAATAAAAATAATTTATTAACGCTTGGCTTGACAATTTTTTCAGTCAGATTTTAATTAATAATTTGATAATTTTTTATGCACATGTTTATTAGACTATACCACTTACACTATGGTATATTTTGTCGTTTCTTGGGAAGCATTTGGTTCTATTAAAATATCCACTAAATGTGTTTATTCACGGCACTTTTTTGATTATCAAAAAATTAAAAAATGCCTAGCTGGTATTATATACAAATATATTTAAGAGCGATAAAAATTGGTTCAAAAATGCAAATTTTACAAGGGCGGTAAGGTGTGCTTTATAAAAATTTGTTGTAGTATACTACAACAAATTTTTGTATACAAAAAAGATATTACATTAATTAATTAATTTAAAATTACCGCTATTATAATAGCTTCTGAAATTTTAAATAAATTAATGTTATTTGAATAAAAACCCTTATAAAATTATAATACTTCAAAGAAAAAACTACATCTTCAAAAAATCCTACATTTTTATAGCCTCTATTTAGGTACATGCCGAAAGAAGTTTCACTTCAATATAACAAAT